ATGTCAGTCAGTCACCTTTGAGTTATAAAAACCTGAAGGAAACGCCACATCAAAAAGATCATTTATAAAATAATCTAAGCTATCACAATACTTACTTTACTTAGGTAGGTACAAGTAACAAATCGCTTCTGAAATGGGTTTCAAGTGCAATCAATAGAGGAAATTTCATTTCATTTGATTCATTTCAAATGAAACTAGTGCAGTCGCTAGTCGGCTTCAGGAACTCCATTCTGTTTGATTGAATTGCCGTCATCAAGCCAAGCCAGTCGATTCTATTAGTGATTGTCGTATTGTAGTACTTGTTTCTATAGCTAATGGAATGCAGCATTATGAGCTATATATTCTGAGCTAACGAACGGTAAGTTCATATTTAGGTATGTTTTATGTTAATTCCAGGTTGATTTGATTCATGTAAAACAATATGTAACTACACTAGACAAAACTGAAGAGACCAATGAAAAACAGAATACCTACAAGTCAAACATATTTCAAACTCCATACAAAAATCATCGGTTATCGTTATAGTCACCGTTAAAGTTAGGTGGTGCAACCCAGCCTAAATAAAAGTTTGTAATTCATCTTGATAATAAAATAGGTGATTAAAATTTGATTTAAATGGTACAAATGCCTACTTACCATCAGGTCAAATCACGTGACATCTCTTAGGCTGAGTTGCATCACCTTAACTTTAACCGTAACTATAACTATAACCGGTGTTTTTGTATGGAGTTTAACAGACTTTTGACTTTTGTTATACCTAGTTAAAGTAAGATAGAGCAACCTAGGCTTAGAGCTTTACGAAAGGCAAACAAAACCGCGAGCTTTACACAAACCAAACAAACTGAGTCGGCATGTGCCATTGTGATGGCGGCGTTAAGCGCCCAGTTAAAAGGTTTCTTCGGTTTATTACATCGGCGGCCATAGCGATCGCCATTATACGACTATTGTTCTAGCTGTTTGCTCTTATAGAGCTTAAGGCTTTAAAACTAAGGAAGGTCGTAAAATATTACAGTTCTTTACGTGTTTTATGTAACTTTTGTACTAAGATTCATCATCATCATCATCATTTTAGCCACTGCTGAACATCTATAGGCCTCCCCAATGACTTCTAGATTTGCCGGATAGCTTTATCAATATATTTTTTTTTTTTTTTTTTTTTTTTTATACACAACGAGGAAGCTCTTGGCCTGTATCTCACCTGATGGTAAGTGACGATCAGGCCGAAGGTGGAAGCGAGCTTGGAAAGACAGTAATGGAAGTAATTTTAAAATAAGCATAGAAGAATATGATTTTACTTACTTCACATTACTTCAATCTACAACTTTTGTAATTAGAGCATTCGCCGTGAAAATTCAAAACTACCTTGGGACTAGGGCATGAATATCGGAATCTCGGAATCTCGTAATATCGGAATCTCGGACTGCGAGATCCGATATTTCAATTCCGATATTGAGCGACCCAATATCGTAATATCGGAATCAGATAAAAGTTTTAATTGAGATTTTAAACAAAGCGTTTAAACTCGCCACAACCTGCCACAAAGCCCAAAGTACATGATTGGCAAAGCCGATGATTTTCTCATGTCTCTCATCATCACTTTTTGTTTCCCTGCAAATATTTTAATATCTTTACTATTTATGGTTAATTTAACTTGTTCTAAATCAATTTTAGCATTTGCCATAGGTACTTGGTCAACAAAGAACGACATCTCAACTCCCTTTCAAACATTAATTTTACTGGACTATGGACCGTCAGTTCTGCGTACTAACTACTATGTGCCCTGCCCATTGCCACTTCAGCTTGCTAATCTGTCGGGCTATGTCAGCGACCTTAGTTAGTTTACGGAGCTCCTCATTTCTGATTAGATCTCGTAAAGAAACACCAAGCTTATCCCTCTCCATAGCACGTTGTGCCCTATATTCAAAGGCCACGTTTTCGAGCCGTATATCATCACTGGTAACACACACTAATTGAAGACTTTCGTCTTCGTATTCGACGATTTACCTCTTTCTCGAAATTGCATCTAACTACCTAGCTGATCGTTTGTCCGAGATAGACATACTTACTTGTCAACAATCTCGAGAATCGAGCTCCTAACCGAAACTGGGTAAGGAGCAACATGGACATTCGACATAAGCTTCGTTTTTTCCATATTCATCCGAAGGCCTACCTGTTGGGAAACTCGATTAAGGTCTTCGAGCATTGTGATAAGGTCTTCCAACGGTTCTGCCTTAGTACGCAAAACAGACGGACGATGAGGCAGCAAGGTTCTGAAGTGGAGGCCACGTACCGGAAAGCGCAGCGTAGGACTCATAACCACAAGCAGGGCCGGATCTACCTATGGGCTGATTGGGCTGCAGCCCAGGGCCCCGGGGTTACAAGGGGCCCCAGACACCGCTAAAAAGTAGGCCATAATTTGAAAAAAAAAATTGTCTGTAAAGTCGGTTTACTGACGATATTTTTACGTGACAACGTCATAAGAAGTTTCAGCCCAGGGCCCCACAAATTCACGATCCGGCCCTGACCACAAGGTGGATCGACGACCTCATAAAGGTAGCAGGAAGGCGCTGGATGCAGGCCGCCACCAACCGGCCATTGTGAAAATCATTATCGGAGCCTGTGTTCAGCAGTGGACGTCCTATGGCTGACATGATGATGATGATGGCCCGTGGTTTTGTGAGTTGTACATCGATAATCAAAAAGGAACAAATTACAAGCATATTCAAGTTTTTTTACCACTCTACAATTTTTGTAGCACGTGATTTGAATGACTCTAAAATTCGTTCCGCCAACATAAAACAGGGTAATATAATGAAGGAGTAAAAGTTTGTTTGATACCTGTGATTTTACAAAAACACTTTAATTATTTGCTAGTCCATAATTATAAGCTCATTATCAGTAACCATTCATTATCAGGTGATCCGACTGCTCGTTTGCCTCTTGTCACATAAACAACCAAATGAAATGGATACCCATAACGTAAAAATGGTTTTAAAACTTCTATTTTATGAAGTGCTGTTTTGTACCAAATTAAAGATTTTGATTACAATCATTATTTTATTGTAAACAATCCACAATTCTTACGAATATAACCAAATATTAATTTTATAGCACATGAACTCAATTCCGATATTAATATCGGAATTCCGATATTGAGATCTAATATCGGAATTCAATATCGGAATTGAAAACCTTCCGATATTACATGCCCTACTTGGGACCCATACCTATATTTATTTCGCCTCAGATCACAAGAAAAGAATGTACAGAAAGTCTACTTTTATTTTCATAATAATAATATTTTTAATTTCATAAGGGCCACCATCAGCGTCTAAAGATAATTAATGTATTAGTAATTTTGACATCGAATCGTAATTAAATCTGCCACAAAGGTGAGGCTTAATGTTAACCTAAATAATTTTACATTAAGCTGATCTATTGATATGAATATTAATGTCATAGGGCTATTTTCATTTCGTTCCAGTTCCAGACATAGCTGCATAGAATATGTAATGATCAAAACAGCTAAATTAAACCGAAATTAGCTAGAATTCTAGTCTTCTTGGTGTTATCCATGAAGATGTTTCAAAAATCATTTTGGTTCTGGTCATTTTCACGGCGCTGGATGCAGGCCGCAACCAACCAAGTAATCTGGAAATCATTGGTAGAGGCTTATATTCAGCACTGGACGTCCTGTGGCTGAAATGATGAATGATGATGTATGTTCACTTAGTAGTGGGCCTACTGCTTTATGTCACATTGGAGCTTTGACTCCCAAGTCGTTAAAGTTTTTGGTGAATGTCAAACTTTTCTCGTTAAATAAAACTTCGCGGCCCAATCCAAGTAATAATTGAATTATAAGTGTTGTACTGGTTTCACGTTCATTAGAATTTCATTAAAATGATTGTTTGGATTAACAACTGTTTTATTGTTCAGTGCTCGGAAAATTAATTCCAAGTGGATTAATTGGTTTCACCTTTTAATTTCTATTGGGTTTTCGTGATCGTTTTAACTTTTTTAGGGAAAATTATATTTTCGTGGTTTTATAAAACTCACTAATTGAACATTGCTCATGTCTTACTAAACGGATTCTTGCATAATTTGTTGCTATTACCACAGCTATTGCTACTATTATAATTTTTAATTTTCTAGCATAATGATATTAAATATTAAATTTTGTAACTCTCACTCAGCGTTGTGGTACAACATAATAATAATTACTTCTCGTTAAGAGAGATGTCGCGACTGCGATAACTTGTCTATTTCGGGATTCGAATCAAATTCTAATCGTTAAGTGACCCCAATAAAAGGTATTTGATTCACCCTAAACCTAAACTAACTTTGGTGATTCATGCAAACTAGCACTTTTACCCCATGTGATATCACAGTATTTATAGTTCTTGCAACTCACGAAGGCAAGTGAGCTTTACTTGTGTGTGTACGTGTACATGCACATAACGAGAGTGTAATAATTTCTACCAAAACTTTTGAAAAACGAAGAACAGCGAGCCACCACGCGTGTAAAGCTCACTACTTGCCTTCGTGAATTGCAACAACAAGGTATATAACTAGCTTGATGTGCCAATTCTTTTCTACAAATCTACTTAAAAGTATACCTTTTTATACATATTATAAAGACATCAATTTATTATGAGTGTCATAAGCCACACGCCCCACTCGGAACAACGGAATATCCAATAACAGAGGAAATGTGGTTTGGCGAAAGCGTAATGAAATCCAGCGGTTGTTTTCATCTTGTCTCTGGAAAAGTGCGGTTAGTCCTACTTCGTTTGATTAAAGACCTATGTCGGTGTAACTATTTCCTTTTAACGTAACTATTACAATGTTTATTTCCTACTTTTTCACGAGTTTTGTATGAAACAACAGCTATTTTGTTTTTGAGCGACAAATGCTTTTAAAATGTTTTTGAACTTATTACTTGTGCGTACTAGTTTTTGAATGCAATGAAGGTGGAATAAAACAATTGTTTAGTATCACTATCTTTAGTTTACAAAAATAATTCTAATTTATGTACAGGGTTCATTTTCAAGGCGCGTCGTCTCTTATAGGGAGGTACTGGGGTCGTCGGTACAATGGTCTTCTTTTCGTCAGTTGTGTGGGTACGGGCTCTAATAAGGACCTAGATTGAGCCCCGTGGGAATTTAGGGCACTCACAGGAACGGGAGTGACGGAGTATCCCGCAGCTACTAAGGCAGCGAACTCCTCAGGAGTATACGCCTTGTTATTTCTCGGAGGAGGCAGCTGCGCCCTCTGTTCCTCGATGCTCTGCCCATGCTGCTCGATGCTCACAGGCTCGTAATGTGCTGACTGCTCTACCCTAGAATACTGCTCCCTCGATGGCTGTTCAATCTTCACATTCTGTTCTTGCCTGACAGGCTGAGGCCTGAGTTTTTTAGGGGCTACGTTTTTGCTCACGTAAATAGCAGAAGATGGAGCTTTAGTCGCTTCAATGGGACGTTGTTCGACTTGTCTCAAAGGCACAGGGACATCAAACCTGGCACGCTGCTCAGGTTGCTGTCTGTACACTGGACGAAGGTAGTACTGTTCTCCAAGGATTTGAGCGGGCTGTGGCGGTGAAGGCAAGTCGACTTGCTCGTAGATTTTCACAGCCCTCATCTTTTCTGGTTCAGGGTAACGTTTCAGATAAGTGACTGGCCTTTCAGCGGTATATGCTCTTTGTTCTTGCTTGGCTGGTTGTTGACGAGGAGCTTCGATTAGTCGGTACTGCTTTGGTGTGGCTTCAGGTTGCTGGTATTGTGGTACGATTCTGTAGGCGATTTGGGGTCTTGGTTGCTGCTGAAGTTTCGGGGCAGGGATCACTTTGAGTCCTTGTGGCTCAGGGCGTTCGTATAAGACTTGTTGAGTCTGCTGCTGTGGAATCGGCACGTAGCGGAGAGACTGGACTGGTCTCTGTTGTTGAGGAACGGGGCGGTACTGTTGTTGAATTTGCTGGTGACTGGGCTGCGCTTGCTGTTGCTGAACATTGGTGGTTTCGATCAAGTACTGCTGCGGTGCGGTAGGCGACTGAGGTGGCGTGATCTGCGCCTTGTTGCGTAGTTTCGTGGTCTTTTTGGTCGGCTTGGTAAGGTATCTGTCAATCTGGAATTGTGGAAAAAATTTCATGATAATACTTTTACAATAACAATAAATAAATTAAACTATCAGTCGAAATTTTAACCTTTTGCTCAACAATTCAAAAATAAATGAATGTTATCATCATCATCATCATCCATCATTTCACCCACAGGACGTCCACTGCTGAACATAGGCCTCCCCCAATGCTTTCCATATTGATCGATTGTAGCGGCCTGCGTCCAGCGCTTCCCTGCTACCTTTATGATGTCGTCGGTCCACCTTGATGATGATGATGATGAAATGAATGACAAATGGATTCTTAAACATTAGACAATGAATTTATTACATCTTCTACATAATTTATGTCAATAGTTACCTGCTGGTGTTGCTGAGAGGCAAGATTAGGCGCTGAAGTTTGCTGAATAGGCTGCGGCTGCGAGTAGGTCTGCTGATGCTGACGAGGCTCCTCGGGCCTGACTTGGAGCAGAGCCAGTAACTCCTGGTCGTAGGGCTGAGGACTGGCCCCAGTGTCGCTGACTGAGAGAGCAGCCCCCACTGACGCTTCACCGCCGTTGGACGAGTAGTGGGGACGGGCGATGACAGCGTGGGACGGTTGGAGGGAGACCTGTAATGAGATAATATGGGCATGAGCTAATAAGATGACATTGGTCTTGTGAGTAAAAAAAAATTAAGTTTTGCATGTAAAATTATGTAACAGCTAAATTCAAAATTAAATGTATTTTAAAATCATGCATAAATAAATAATCAACAAGAATGGAAATCAATCCAGTTTATTGACTAATGTGAACTATCAAATTCTACCATGATTTTCCGGAGATTTGCTTATTATTCAGTCATGTTTGATCTTGGAAAGGTTTGAGCAACACAATAACTTTCAATAAGAAACAATATATCAGATGAGATGCAGTTTCTCTCTTGTGGCCTGATTTGTAACTTTGACAAAAATGACACAGACCTGACGTCCAACTTGAGGCTGAGGCTCCAAGTAGTAGAGCTGCTGTAGATTCTGCTGTAGATTCTGCTTGTGCTCCTGCTGGGGCGAGTATATCTGCTGGAGGAGCTGGTCGCTGGACAGCGGCGCCTTCCTCTCTGGCTGCAGCTCCAACAACTCCTGGGCGTTTAGCGAGAACACTTGCCCTGGGCGGTACTCCTCGTCACTTCTGTGGATGACAGTTTAAACGTTTAGGCTAAATAATCAAACCAAATTAATTTCTATTGTGTCAAGCTTTGCGGGTACTTGAAGGTTAAGGTGATAATTGGTTTTGATCTCCTCAGGAATAGTGTTTGAGTGATGTTTTGTTTACGAGCATTTGTTACGCAAACATTTGCTTGCGTCCCAATTCGCAAAACAAACATTCGCAAACCAATCTCTACGATTCAAAACCTCATGGTCGTTAATTTCATTATTACTAAAAAACTGTCACTAACTTAAAGTACTAGTGTATCAGAATTTAGAAGTCCTTATCAAACATATCACAATCGTATACTGAATAGTAGTTTTTACATTCTTCTATGAACTTCACGGTAGCGTAGGTTATGACAGACAATCAATAGTAACATGGGAACAGAAACAATGTAAAATGGGAACACAGACAATGCCATGAAGTGTAAGATCACGTGCAATGAAAAGTACGATGAAGGCAAACGAACCGACAGAGAAACGGTAGTCGGTATCGGAAAAGTTTTGCATTGAAAGTACTAACGTAACAATGATTGCTATTCTTGTATTGCTGGTTCATAAATCATCATTAAATTGAAATACTCGTGCCTACAGTTATTTCATTTAGGGTTTACTCTTTAGTAGGTATTTTTTATGATATTGAAACTCACCTATTTTTATCTTCTTCTTGGTTTTCTTCGACTGGCGCGACCTGTTCCTGAAAAGATAAAACAATTATGTTATTAATTACGTCACAGCCAAATTATGACATAGATATCATAATCCAAAACATCAACAAAAACGAAAACATCTGCGCAATAAAATAATTTAGACTCTATTTCTAACACTATCGAGCTCAATTTCAAAACAGCGTACTATGTTTCACAATGACCTAAACTACAGCTTAGAACACACGGAAGGCTAATCTAAACAGTGTTTCCCACAAAACAATTTAAACAATCGGCTGGAAGTGGTCCCGACAAATTGATAGTGTGACAACAGAGCATGCGCGTGTCATAATACCGCAATTATGTATTACATTAGATGCGTGGTGAAAGCCGAGGAAAACTGAGACAATGCGGCGATTATCGGCCATTTTCGAAACGGGGGGCGGTCGCACGCGCCGATCGGTCTTTGCACAACGCTAGGGCTGGCTGGCTAGTGCATTTACATCCGGAGTACGATTACTTAAGTTACTAATGGTTGTTACAGCTGTGCCAATGATTTGGTCCAACTGGTCGTGTTTTATTAAAGCAATGTGGATTATATGTTAGTAGCAGACGTAAGCAACATACTTACGTGTGCAGCTCATCTTTAATTTCATTAGCCTCTGCAATAATATTTTTCGGTTGCACTGATAAACGAGAGCTTACAAAGTAGGTATGTGTGGTTTTAAAAATTCCTTTTGCAGTTTTTGCGTGCGTCATCATCATCACCATCATTTCAGCCAAATGACGTCCACTGCTGGACAATGGCCTCCCCCAAGGTTTTCCATAATGAACGGTCTTGCGCTGCCCGCATCCAGGCTCTTCCCGCGACCTTTACCAGATCGTCGGTCCACCTAGTAGGAGGCCTGCCCACGCTACTTCTTCCAGTCCGTGGTCGCCACTCGAGAACTTTCCGTGTGCGTTTGCGAGCGTATTAGTAATAAATATTTTACCGCTTATGTTCACATGGAGGAATTCCTAGCTAGACCAAAATGCCGTGAAGCATAATTTGAATAAATAACTCATTTCAACACTTGAGAAAATCTAACGTACTTTAGGTAAACAATATATTATTTATTCATATTTGATAAAAAACAACCTTGCGTCGTAAAAACACAATCCTGCTACCACTTACTACACAAAATCTCTTTAATATTGATATCATAACGTCCCCTCATCATTCCAAAATCGGAAAATTAGTCTCTGACAACCCTGATCACGTGGCCTACCCAGACTAATCAACCGGCGCGTCTGTTAACTCATCTGGATTCATTAATCTGTCGTGCGTGTCCGTTTTTCACTTTCCTCCAACGACAATGTGTCTCTAACGACGTTGTCTGTGGTTTGATACACCTTAAATAACAAATGACTAACTATTCTTCAGTTTTTCTCGGAAATAAAGAGTCAATCAAGAAGAGAAATGGTTACTGCATCAAAATTGGCAATTTCGTTGTCTTTAAGTTGCAACAGCAACGTCGTAAATACAATGAACCACTAACGTTAGTAATTTGTGGGAGGTGTTTAGACTTGTTCAAGTATTAAAGTCTTATCCTCTAAAGTTTTGGAACCCAATTTCTGACTTTGTGACTTTTTTAATGTTTCTTTCTACGCCGTGATTAAAGCATTCATTAACAGAGCTAGATGGATTATATTAAAAAACTAGGGTTACTAAATTGTAAAACTGAAGATACTTAATATTCTGTGAAAATACTAATGAAATAATATTGGATACCTTATTGAGGCGTTAAAAAAGAAATAAAATTAAAAATCATACATTAAGATTAAAGTGTCGTTCTAGTATTGTCCCTGTGAGAGCTACTTCATTACTGAGAAACAGTCACATGATATCGAGTAGAGACAATAATCTTAATTAACAGTTAAATATACACCGAGCTGTTTCCTGCACCCAGTATGATAGCGAGAAAATTACTGGCAAACGTAATTTCTCAGTAGATATTTTACAGATCTCAGATATCAATACTTGTCCAAGTACTACAATTATAACTAAATTACTATTCATAAACCAGCTGTGAAGTAAGTGAAGCGAATTAACTGTCACCTTTCATAGAGATTAAAGTCATGAAAAATTGAAGTTGTAAAATTATAGAGGTTTTTTATGGACACGTAAAAAAATCCATTCACGTGTATAAAAGAACACTCATAATAGTAAACTTTGTGGTTGTTTCTTTTTAACTGTTGATGAGAACGTAGTAATACGAGTGTGTTTTCAACAAGTGTTATCGTTTCATAATTTCCGATGAAAACTGAGATGATTTTGTGACGCGAAAATGCAAACTAACAAAGAAGCAACCAGTTCAATATTAGAGTAGCCAAATGCATCTATGAATACTCCTTACAATAGTACGACTAGTTATGTTCAAAATATAGGTTCTAAAACTATTTGTAACAGATAATAAGACCCGTTAATGTTAGTCACGATTGTGTAAACATGGCGTCTCTCATTACGAGATTAAATCCCCCACTTAAAACTGTAATGATAGGAATCATTCTTTCAGAAGTGCATTATAACGGTGCTCGTTATATGTGACAACGATTTCCCAATCGCATTAGGTGCATTTGTGTTGTTTTCCGTTACAAAATAACGGTGCATTCCTTGTCTGGTGTTATTAACGATTGCGATAGAGCTGCGCCAAACTGTTATTTCGTGCTCCCATTATGAGTAGTGGTGTAACAGAGGCGTTGTGACAGTAGTGATGAGACTAATGAATTGTGAATGTTTTACACAAGTCGCAAATTACGTAGCTAATGTGGTGAATCTGCATTAGTGTGGCCACATGTAAAGATTTAGAAGCACCCGGATGAGACAGAGCGTGAACAAGTGGGGTATTATTTGTTAGTGTTGTAACATTTTAGTATGTAATATGTATTTTGCTTGTTAAAACTCCTAAAAAGTTTCCATTATTATCAAAGCTTTGTGATTCGAAAAAAAAATACTGTTTACTGTGAGTAATAATACTTTTGGACAAACAAAAGCTGGACATTCCGGGGGAGTGAAAACATAAAATAAGCCCTTATGTTTCAACGTTCCTAACTACATGTGGGTAGTTCTACAAATCAGGGAATTTTACGGGGCTCAACTTGCAGCTCCTTAAATTACCAATTAATAGTTCTCGTTTTAGGGTATTAATAAAGTTTAACTCACATAGTACTTGGTCACTGAATTTCAACACGTTTTAATAAAAACATCCCAGACAAAAATGGCTTCAAATGGGAAAAAATCTCATTTCCCTGTGGGGTGACATTCCAGAATTCATGATGTAAATCACAATAAAAAATATATAAAAATATAATTAGTCAAAAATATCATTGTATTGAAAGCAACCATTAGTGTATCTTTAATTTAACATATATGGATTATGTTTGAATTCCCTATTTACATAATTTTTTGATTGCTGAACAAAGGCGACACGAATTAAGTATCACTTCCCTGCCACCTATAAACGCGTTAAAATCTGTAACAAAACAAAGGGTAAGCCACGTTGTCGTTCTTATGTATTTAAGTATGCAGTTAAGTTCGCCTAGTGAAACGTTTATTTCGCCCCAATCGTCAGTCAGTTAGACGCAGCTACGCTGTTATCATCGTCTGTCGTGTCTGGGCCAGACAACTTCTCACTCATCTGTTACGTATTTATAACAGTATTTTATATTATTTTAGGGCAATTATGAAACAATATTGTCAAACTCGCTTGCGTCCATTGACTGATAATATTAAATTTGATATGAAGTTTATATAATTCATGATTTTGACAGAATACATCAAAAATCTCACTTCCCTGTGTATCATTTCCCTGGGTTTACGAAGAAAATGGAAAAGCTAATATCGACTAACCAGCAAAACTTACTGCCATATAAAGGCATTTTACAAATACACTAAGTGCAGGCAAATGCATACACTCCATTGAAACTGGATACTCCATTTTGACTTGCTTGACTCTATACAAACTTTTAGCTGTTTTTGCAGTAACGTGTGCGAGCACTTCCAAATAGGCATCGTAAAATATTCTTCCATGAAAGCAAATGTTGATGACGCTTAAACTGAATCTGAAACTGAGACCAGTAATGCGTTCAACACCAGTATTTTGATTCATCAGACTTGGTTGACCTTACGAGTGCACTGGGACTGAATGAATATTGATGATCCTGATGGATTGCTGGAGATGCCGAAAATAGATACTAACGAATTGTTTCCAGTCGAAGAAAAGCGTCGAGGAAAGAAGAGGAAGATAATAGAAGGAGATACGAATAGTAGGGAAAAGTCAAAGAGATCAGGTGACGGAAAAAGAAGCAACCTAAATGAGTTCCATGTTCAATTGATAGTGGACCTTTATGATGCACATAAAAGTATTTTTTATTATTTTTAGAATAAAGCCTATAAACTCAAATGCATCTTTCAGTTAAATTTTCACTATCCTGTATATGTTCTCACTTCCCTGTCCATCGAAAATAGAAAAACCGCTATAAAATCAATAATTATCATAATTTTGTCTGGCCCGTTAAAAATTGGATATGTTGTAGTATATTCTCGGTCTTTAGTCACTGTTTATACTGATTACTAACAAAAACTGGAGATTCATTTTTTGGTCCTAAATAATTCCACCGTGAGTAGAACTACCCATGTGCAAAATGTATTGTGCTTGTGTTATAAATAATACTTATTTTATTATTCCACTTTAATAGTGCAAAATAAATATTCATGCAATATTCGTAATCTGAAGTGTGCTAACCAGATTTCATAATATAATTATGCCGGTGGCCAACATGCTACCTGGCAAATTAAAAGATGATGATACGTAACCACTGAGCTAATGTAGTCCTATATTAAATCCCACCAAAAACATTCTGTAANCTGCCGTGCCCCCAGATATCAATTGACTTAGAAGGAAGTGACAACTAATAATAATATAACCACGAGTCTCCATTAATATGAGTAGATTTGTTAAAATTAATGGTTAGACAAATAGATCAGTGCTATGGACATAACTGCAGCCAA